CCATCAAAGTGCATTTAGAACACTTTGGAAATATTGGAAAAAGAGCTTGTATTAAATTATTTAAAATACAAATAAAAACCAATGTATTATCTCAATTGATCTTGATATTTTGGACTGACCGGAGGCCGTATTTCTACAGGGAGCACGAATTCTTCCAAGGTATCAAAATCCAGGCTGTGGATAGACAATATTTTGTTCCCCACACACTACCAGTCCCAATCTCGTCGAACATTGTCAATACGCTTTCGCGGTCCTTTGTGAATGACCCCACCACTTCCATTGAATCGAATACTCTCAAGACGACCACCGACATTATGCGCCAGCGTAGTGCATATATATACGGTATGTACATTGGCATGGATGGTTTGCCGTACGTATTCAACGTTCACCTCACTAACAAGCCCACCATGACTAAGCTCAACCGCCTTTTTGTGAATGATCGAATCTACAAGTTCAACTGGAAGAACGCCGGATCACGGCCGTTCTATTTACCAAGCCACAATGATTACATGAATAAACTAATGTACCTCCACTCCAACGGTACCATGTTCCGTGTCGAAAAGGGGAATATCCTCAACGATATCCAAACTTACAGGTGGGTCAAGATCCCGGTGGAGCCAATGTGCGGTGCTGCCAAGATTGGGGCTAAGCCCAACGCGATCAATCTCACAACCAAACACTGTACCTACGGGGACTTTAAAAATTTATCCGAACAGGATTACAATTTGTATGACGATACTCGCACGTTTAAGCTCGATTGGCGCGTTTCCCACTTTAGTCCCGAGGGTGGTATGATTGTCCCCCGCATGGTCGAAGACATGTACGTTGAGAGGGATCTGGCGTTATTGAGAGAAGCCAGTCTATATCCACAGCAATATACGGATAACTTCACCGCACGCCCCATAAATAGACCCCTCGATTTTGCCTCTGATGGCAAAGAAGTCTTTGATGAATCGCATGAACTCAGTAGGATGTACCGTAGTGTGCGTCTGGGAAAGTCCAAGACACCTCCAACCCTGGATGGACATATTATACCCCCTGGAACGCTTGACTTAACCCCAGCTGGCGACATGGTTATACTTGATATGCGCAAGCGCCTTAATAGAGACGATTACCTGAGATGGATTAAGGTGCGCAACTTGACGGTTGACTTTAGTGGCAATTCGCCCGAGGTCAGCTACGCCATTGACGACAGCAAATTTGTAAAGACTCTACATCTTGATATAAAGGGTTTTGAGAAGCTACAGAAGTTCACCGAGTCTGAGAAATATAAAATCCAGAATAAAACAACTCCTCGGGCAAAGTCCTTGAGGACTACAAAGAAAAACGATGTGTTGGGCAGGAAGTTGAAGCTAGCTGAAGCAACCAAACAGCTCAAGAACGGGTGCGGACGGACTGTAGCAGAGAGCATGAACATGCAGGCCAAACAATACAATGATGTACTCAAAGACGGTATTACGGTTTGCACACACATGACCACTGCTAACTTGACAAGTGTCGTCCAGAACGGTATAGCGAAACAAAAACAAATTGCAAACGCCATGAAGGAATGTCGCAGAGGAATTGTGCCAACGAATTCAAATCGAGCACCGAGTATTGGAGGACGGACACCGGACAGACAGATGCAATGTCGAATAATCAACAATCGGGAACTAGAGTGACGCGATCAGGTCTTCTATCATGAAGGCCTAAACAATGGAGGACTGATTAATCATACACATACACAGAATAAT